CCTCTCTTGGACTGTCATTGCTGGTACCTCAGTGTTAAACGTATCTAGCTTCCAAAATTTTTCCAGAGCTGGTAATGGATCCTCCTGTGTTATTGTCATGACATTTCCTGCCATGGCTGCTGGCACTCGTCGCCTCACTGCGCCGAACACAATCCACCCAAGAGTGGTTTCTTGTAGAGTTGGCTTATCATCCCCCAACTCGATAAGTCCGGGTCTTATCAATAGAGAATACACCTCGGCTCCCAGAAGCAAATCTATGCTTCCGGGTTGGCCGAATTCGGGGTCCGCCAACACTACCGTGCTCGAAATACTAAGTCCTTCGTCTATAGATTCCGACGGTTGGTTTTTCGTCAGTTGTGGTAAGATAAACACAACAATCTCCTTCTGAAAGTTCGACCTTAACGATGACAGTCGCACACGTGCCGATGACGAAGATCCTTGCGCCGTTTCTCCAATTCCTAGGATACCTTGTGATGTGCTGAAGGTGGGGAGAGCAAGTTGGTCCGCCATCCTTCTGGACATGAGATTTAGCTGAGAGCCAAGGTCGATGACTGCGCGACAATTTTCTCGCCTTGCGGTTTGTCCTTGTATTGCCACAATGGCTGTGGGGAGTAATACGTACGTGTTTGGCGGTTGGCCGAGGGTCAACGCAGACACCTTGTTGATCATTGGGGTCTGCAGATTTGGACCTGAAGCATCCATCGCTTGCAATGGTTGATCTCTGGTAGCAATGGCAACAACCGGCGCCGTAGATTCTGGATGCTTGTGCAACATGGAATGATGCCGTTGACGGCAAAAACGACAGGTCATTGGCGACGGGAAGCTGTTTGTCTCATGGTAGTTTGACAGACAATTGGCACAGCCTGCAATCTTCGTCATTGCCCGCCGACGTTCTTCCGGATTCATTCTTTGAAACATGTTGCAGGATAATGGCCGGTGTGTGGCTATGTTGCAAATTTTACGAATGTTATCTCGTGATACCAATGTTTTGGGTTGAGCGTCCAGTGTTTCCAACATGCCGGATCGCCGTTCTAAAAAGGCTAAAACACTTTCCAGCAACAGTTTCCGCCGCACTAAGAACCCTATAATTGGATCCTAGCTCTTTGTGCAAATTTCCAGGTTTTTTAAAGTACTCATTGAATTCTTGATCGTGTCATGTAAGGCCCTGAGTTGGCGTGAAGAGCCATCTATAGGTTTATAATCAACGATTTTTGCTATGGCGGCGAATACTAGTATCTTTCCGTTCTGGTACCTGGCCTATAAGCGCAACCAGGTGTCGTCATAGCCACCCTGTGAGAAAGCTGTGTCTGTCAAGACGTTCCTCGCTTCACCACGAAGCGAGCTTTGTAGAATATGTAGTTTTTGGCTGGCCGAATATGGTTTATTGTGTACTAACTCTACAAAAAGGTCATGGAACCGTGGCCAGTCTAGATACTCGCCATTGAATTCCGGAATGCTAATTGGCGGCAATGCCAAGTTTAGGCTCATTGGCGCATCTTTTTCTCGAAGCAGGTTCATTTCGTATTCCTCATATAACGTGTGGAATTGGGCTAGCTCTGCTTCTGCCCGAGCTGCGGCCCCAGGTGTGCTATCCAATTCATCGTGGGCTTGCCTCAGTAATGCCCAATGGAGATCCAGGTGACTTTGTAGGGCTGGGGTGACGGTTGGAGCGTTTGAGGCTAATGTTAATGATGATTCCAATTCGTTGCATCTTCTCTGCAGCTGTCGAATTACCGTGTCAATTGTGGAGCTTCCCTTTACTTGCTCTCCTGTTGTGATCTTGATGTTGGCTGAGGTTCGTCTGGGGGCCTTTGGTGGATCGCTTCCAGTAGGTAAGTTGTCCAGGAAGACCCTTTGATATCCTTAAGTACTATTAGTCGTGAGGAGTATTCACTTTCCGTGGGTAGTGCCGCTTGCTGGACCTCTTCATCCAGATCACAAAATTGTTGGCAGAGCTCCTTTAGTTGTTCTAATCTACCGGCATAATAGCCTTCTCGGAGGTGTCTGTCGGCAGAATCCTTGCCATAATTCTTAATAAGCTGTTGTATTTTTCCTTGCAGCTCGTTTTGGTCGTCTAACAATCGATTGTGTAAATCGATTCTGGTTTGGTTTGTCTGCTCAATGAATGAGGTCGACATAGTGCAGGTGTTCAGTAAGTCTTTGCTGACTGCGGTTCTTAAGCTAGGCTTCACAGGTGTTTGTGTAAGAACGTCTTACCTGAGCAAACCGGCGTGTGTGTTGCCTATGTGGAAGGCGGATGCTGAAGTGTGATCCTTTGTTGGTAAAGGATCACGTCGGGGTCACCAATGTTCTTGCTTAAGTTAGATGGACAAGGTCGGGTCTCTCCGCGTGACGAGGAGGGGTATAGACGCTCGTCGCTGGCACGGGGACGCTGTTTATTGCAGTCGGATCGCGTCGCGACACGGGTGACTATGGGTATCACGGTGCCGGACCACAGGCGATATGGACTGTGTGAGTGAGGTATCGGATACTCGTGTAACCGGGGATCAACAGTGTGTTGAGGTCACGCCGCGGGACAAGGAGGATAATGACACACCTGTCGCTAGCACGGGGACACTAGAGAGCACAGGACGATTCGCGTCGCGACACATATAGCTAGGGTAGTATGGTGCCGGACCACAGGCGATCGATGAGCTGTGTTAGGGTGAGTTGACAAGAGTCTTTACGTGATAGAAGTAATAAGACTTGTGAGTGCTTAGATTTGTAACTGACTTTATTGAGCTGTTGATCAGAGCTTAAATACTATTATGACCCGGAACTTGGGTGCCTATATTATCTGATACGTTATGCCTCATATTGGGGTTCACCTACATTTTTGTCGTCTACGCTGCAATGACAGTAGTATGCTGCTCGTGACTGCTGACCCACTGAGTCGTGACCGGCTGTCCCATACTTGCAGCGTCGGCACTATATTGTGCTGCTACTGTGCGCCTGGTCGCTGTTCCGTATAAGTTGCATTGGTCGTATGTTCGGCTCGCTGACAACTTGCAACTCCGTCGTGTTGGAGATTGCGTGCGTTTTACCCGTGTTCGTAACCATGCTAGATCGATCCGAGTCACCTTGGTTACGAACAAGCAGTTTAGTCTCGTCCGACATGGCTCGCACTGACGCTGCGTCGTCTAACACCCTCGCAATGCTCTCCTTCATGGCTTCTGCACTTTCTGCGCTGCCTTTGGCCACCTCGAGCAGTAAGTTGCCGTTAATGGTGCGGCGTACCTTGGATACACAGCTTCCCAAGTCCGACAGCTGTTTATCTTCCCTTCGAGTCACCATGGCTAACACCTCGCTGTACGATTTCCCGCTCGCCTGGACAACGACGGCGTCGGGTCTGGCGCGACGCGTGGCCCTAGGCTTTTTCTTGACCACCTCCCACTCAGCGACCGGAATTGCGCGGCTCACAGTCTTACTGGCGCCAGCGTGCATCGCATCTCTTTCTTGTGGCCCTTTTGGCGGGTTCTTTCGGGTGCTCCTGGGAGCTTTGGCACTTTTCTGCTGCGTTGAGCGCGTGGATGGTGGGGCCATTTGAGCCGCAGATCCTCCAGCCACAGTCGGCTGGCTTATCCTTCGCCAAGGCTCCGTTTGCGCTGCAGAATCTCTCCTCCAGACAGGCGTTGTCTGCTGTTCTTTTCCAACACTATGTGCTGTTAAGCGCGGGGATCCACGCTCTTAAGCTCCTACCCCCACTTTGTTCAACACTGTAAACAGCTAATTTTGTTGTTTGCAGTGATGAGGGAAAAAACGCGCGGGTGGCAGCTTGTGGATGCTGTGAGCGTGAGAGAGATTTTCGAGGTGAAAGACTCTCACTCGATGGGCGCGGGAGAGTATCCCCCCCTGGCCCACAAAGTCCAAGACTTGGGGATACGTTCGCAGGCCCCGCCGGAACAGTGCCCTGGTACGTACCTCTAGTCCCGGAGTGTCTCGCACTATACACAGTACACTTTTTAGGTAACGACCGTCGCTACACTGACTTTAAAACGAGATAACTTCAGAGCGCACTCGACTATACCCTCTGCAGTGGTTTAGGTGGAGCTGTATGACCTTAACCATTCTGTGTATCGTGCATGGCTTTCCGGTACTCAGGGCACGCCCTGCTTAGGGTCGAGTGTTCGGCCTCTCCTCCAGACTTGCCGCTTCTTGTGCAGATGATGCATTTCGGTTTGCTCTGGGTACAAGTTTTATACTTGTGGCCATCCTTGCCACATCTGAAGCAGGATTGCTGCGTGTTTTTGGCTGTTGCCTCTGACGCTGGGCATATGGCAGACATGTGGCCTAATCCCATACATTTGTAGCATCGCCTGGGCTCCATTTTCTGTCGTATGCGGCAGACGACCCATCCAACCCTGACTTTCCCCTTGTCGAGGATCCGCTGCGCATGCTCAGGTCTGAGGTGGACCGTTGCCGTTTGGGTTCCGCCATACGCCTTTCGCATCCTAGGCGCAGCGACCGCGGGATGTCGCACTCCTCCTCAGCGTAAACTGCCTGTAATAACTCCTCGCAGGTGGTCATCTCGTCTAGGTCGCGGATTTCCACTTGCACCGTGTCCTCCAGCATAGCCACTTCGGCTTTGCCGCTGAAGGCGGACTTGATGGCTGTTTCTGCGTGGCTGGGTCTGAGGGTTTCTGCATCTTGAGTGGAGACTCCCATTGGCTGTCCTGCGCATGCCTTGCACACCATCCTTAAGCCCCTGAAGGGTAGACTCTGCTTTGACCAGTACCAGTACGATCCATCGCTGCATTTGATGAGGATAGCGTCTAAGCGCTGATTCCTGCGCTTCGCGGTGCGGCTCACGTGGTCTTCGCTTCCCCCAATACTCGCTGCAGTCTCATGAGGCTTCTTGTTTTTGCGTCTCACCTGCTGCCAAGGCGGGTTTCTCGGCGGGACCCTGCCTGGGTTTCCCGCGCCATGCCTTCTTGCAGTGGGGCAAAGAGCGATGTTGTTGTCTGCTGGGTTGCGCAGGCGGTCGGACATCCGAATTTCTCCTAGTTGACGGTGTCCCACACGTTGATGAGAATGAAGCCTCGATTGGTGAGCAAAATCACCGCGTTCACCTCGACTTCAAGTGTGGCCACGTACTTTTCGCGAACTGGTCGGTCATGTGACGCTAGACGAAGGTGGTCTTTCCGTTGCCGCCATCGCCGACGAGCATCCTGACCTTCTTGAGCCAACCTGGTAGAAATCTCGATCGCTGTGTCTGTGCTTACTCGTGGACTTCTGGACGTTGACGGCGGAATAGTGTGATTGCTGGAAATTTTCCTCCAAATTCACAACTTTCGTTGCGGAGTATCAGTAACCTACTATTCCTATTATCTGATTGCCAGCACACCATCGACCCCCTTAACACCATACCAGTAGCTGAGAGAGTGAACATTCGTACGGGAGGATTAAAGGATTTCGTTCATAAGAACGCAAACTTAGGAGGCCGTTACGCGACCGCATGCCCTGATTCAAACTTTCTTATCTAGAAAAACGTTCAAGGAGAGAATTTAATTTGACGAGGACAAAGGACGACGGAAAGGAATCTAGGGCACTTTGTAACTCGCAAACAACGAGCTGAGCGTCCTCTGCGGAGTCAGCTTCTGGCAGTTCCTCCATATTTGGTAAGAAGCTTGTCCAGGAAAGTGTCAAACGCGAAAATGGTTTCTTCACCGAGGAGAAAGCCCCAGATGTTCGGTTGGGTACCGCTTAAGAGTATAGATGGCAGTACATCGGCCCTGATCAAAATATTTATTTGAGCGCGCGGGTAATACTTTGGATCCGCTAGTGGCAGTTAGGGAAGATCCCGTTTGTGTAAGAGTACGTTCAGCTCATAGGATAGAGTGAGCTTATAGAGTTTGGAAGAGGCAATCCCAATTTTCGGATTGAATTCCGAACATTTCTAACGCCGTGAGATACCCCAGATGAATCCTTGAAATTCACAGATAGATGACCTAGATGCCTAATGTGCAGTCCACATTGAAAATTATTTTTAATTGGCTATTTTCTAACAACCGCTTGATTTCGAAACGCCCAGGATGTTCCGGGAAAAAAGATCCCTGAGGGTCGGAAAAAAGCACGGTATCGCACGGATGCAGCCGACAGCCAGAGGAAATGTAGACCTGGATAGGAACTGGTAGAGCTTGCGCTATCATATTCGCGATCTGAGCATCACAGCTTTCGTAAACCGAATAGCAATAGCTGTATTTAGCTCGGAGAATCGGAATGCTATCAGCTTAGCTTTCTCCGGCTTCTGGCAACCACCTGAAACATTCGACATACTCTGCCTTGACGAGGTCAGAATGCTTCACATCGAAAGAGTAAGAGGGACCGACGAAGGAGTGCTTGTCCTGGATTCAAATTCACTCAGTCGATCCGAGATTTCAATAAATTTGTTCAGAGCAAATTGGGAAGCTGTTAGAGCCATTTTGACGTTTGCACGAGTAACTTTTTTCAGGGGAGACGAACACTTAGTGTTTAGTTCGTGTATGGCCGGATCTTCGGATATGCCTGGGACTATTGCAGGTCGAAAAGACAACTTGTTATTATCACTTCCAAGGGACATACCAATAATGTGGAACGGTTTCGATGCGCGCTTATATTTTTGTCGAGAAAACGGAAACCTGACCCAGTTCTGGAACGGTGGAACGAGGTATTGACAAGAAAAATGCTGTGTGGTACTTGGCCGTGGATCGGATGAACAGAAATTAAAGCACGGCCAACATCAAATTAGGTTGCGGAAAAAGCCCCAGCAATACTGTATAGGGACGGTGTGAAAGCAATTTATATGTCACCCGTGGAAAAACAACAGTATTTTATATTTTTTTTATTATTGATGTATGGTAGTAGTACTGGTATTTTTCCTTTTACAATAATTTGAGGGAAGAAAATACCGAAAAGTAACAACTAATTTGGTGGATCGTGTATGTATTTGTATTCTATTTTTTATAGGTTTATTAAGTGAAATTATAAAGATATTGAAGCATTTTTGGGGGCTAAGATTGGCAGAACACTGAGAATTAATTTATTTTCACTGTATGCTTGGCATACAAACGTCGAGGAACGACCGCAACTTATTCAGTTGTAATTCTGTAGCCAAGTGAATAAACCGCAGTCGCTCCCCCGACTTTTAGAATATCGAAGCACTTGCACGTGTGTAGTCATTGCTATTTTTTGTCGCCTTCTTTGGCGATAGCGCTTTCGAGTGTCTTAAATCCTTACAGCCGGCCCCAGCAGCAACCCACAGAAGCCACCAACAGCGCCCCGCCAGCTATTTACCGACGCCGCAGCTTAAGACCGACGCCGCAGCTCACCCCAGCCACCCTCTACAGATTTCAGCCACTCGCTCAATGATGTCGCTTTTGTTCGTCGTCGTATTTCCTTCCCACGCTTCCCGCGTTTGTAGCGTCACACATAGAACGAAGACTTACAAACTTAACTGGAACTTTCTGGATGCTTTCGTCTGCTGCCAAGACCTGTGCACCAGCCTGTGCACGCTGACTTTAAATAGTATGATGACATTCGACTGGTTAACTTAGGTTTTACAAAATATACGTGTGCTAATGAACTGTACTTTGCGAGATTCTGGCAGCGTGTGAGTATGGCGGTGCGTTGCCACTTTTCACTCACGTTGCAACTGGGTATCGAGTACAACTTTGGAATATCGAGTATAACTTTGGAATATCGAGATTAGATCAGTTGGTGAGACCGCTTCTAGTGGTCCTTGTCTCTCCACTACCGCATCCCACTTGTATGCCTCACGAATCATAGTTATTGTCTTCGATTTTATCTATTTGATATAGACCACTCATATTTATACCCGTTACTCGTAGAGTAAAAGGGTATACTAGATTCGGCGGAAAGTATGTAACAGGCAGACGAAAGCGTTTCCGACCCCATAAAGTATATATATTCTTGATCAGGATCACTAGCCGAGTCGATCTAGCCATGTCCGTCTGTCCGTCCGGATGAACGCTGAGATCTCGGAAACTATAAGAGCTAGGCTATTAAGATTTGGCGTGCTGATTCCTGAGCTTCTTAAGCAGCGCAAGTTTGTTTCAGCAAAGTGCCACGCCTACTCTAACGCCCACAAACCGCCCAAAACTGTGGCTCCTACAGTTTTAATGCTAGAATAAAAATTTTAACTGAAATGTATTGTTCTCATCAATACCTATCGGTTGACCCAAAAAAAAGTTGGCCACGCCCCCTTTAACGCCCACAAACCGCCCAAGCCTGTGACGCTCACATTTTTCATGCTAGATAAAAAATTTTAACTGAAATGTATTGGTCTTAAAGTAGAAGCCGCCGTGCGACTGTTGACATGACGAGTATATTTGCAATTAACATAAAGGAGAATACAATTATCATATTTTGGTGATGCTCCACTTTCGTAAGAGCGACATGACATTATAGTACATAGCAGCATTTCCAGATTTCTATAAACTTATTTTAGTTTCGACCCAAGCAACTCGATTAGTGCTTTTTGGTTTTGAAAACGATTTTGCATTGCTGTTTGTCTAAAGTCCATCATATTTCTTGAAGAGTCATCATCATAGCTTTTATGTTGCTATGCACTTGACCCATTTTCTGCTGCATACGTTGCATGGTTTGCTCGGGTTTGTCTAGACCTGTTTTCATATGAGGTGCACTCCAATGTGCTTAACGGCCCATAGGACGATCTAGGTGCTTTAGGGAAGAAGACAACAGGAGTTGTTTGAGAGTGTAGTTCGCTGTATAGTTGCTGTAATTTCTGTTATGGTGCATTGCACGTGTCCGTTTCTTTTGTACGGCATCTGATAATCGAGGCACTCGGCGTCAAACGTGATTTTTTAAAAGTTTCTTTGGCAATATTGCTTAGAATCGTCCATCGACGATACAAAGGACGGTATTCACAAGGGAATGATCTCCCAAAGGAGTACATGTCTTGGATATATTTATTTGCTTTCTTCTACTTTTTATTGTTCGGAAATAGGTATATTCTCATATTCTTATCAGGCATTTAAGCATGAGTGGATAATCTGGATATTAGTTTGTTGGGTCTGTATTTTTTCCGAATAAAAATGTCACCAGGGTTGGGGGACTTTTTTCCTAATAACAACCTCACCAGGGTTGAGAGACTTTGGTTCTTGTCTATTCTTATTAAGTATTTTTAATTTTAGGGAATATAAATATGTTGCTAAATATAAACTGTTTTATTGATGCACAAAATAAACTCACACTGAATGGGCGCTCTGCAATTCTTGGGGCACTCCGCGTACATTGTTCGATTTCGTTGATTAAATCTTTAAGTGTGGCCAAACTTCGGGGCTAGGGTCTTCGAAAGTAGTTTGTCATGTTCTACTTATAGTTTAGCTGTTTTTCTAGTAGTGCAATTATTAATAAGTTTCGATATTTTATCTCTGTGGTTTTAAGATAAATTCGTTTGTGTCTTATTCCGAATTTGTATATCAACATTAAAATCTTCTTCCGCCGAGTGCACGGAGCTACCTCTGTGGCTACTACAGAAGTAGTAGGAATATATTTCACACGCGAGGTAACGTCGAACATATTGACGGCACACTGCCCCTGGATGTAGTCGCGTAGGCATCCGAATTTCTCCTGGCTGGCGGTGTCCCACACGTTGATGCGGATGGAGCCTCGATTGGTGAGCAAAATCAGCGCGATCACCTCGACTTCAAGTGTGGACACGTACTTTTCTCGTACTGGTCGGTCATGTGAGGCTTGACGAAGATGGTCTTTCCGGTGCCGCCATCGCCGACGAGCACGCACTTGAATATGGTTATATCCTAACCTTCTTGAGCCAACCTGCTAGAACTCTCGATCTCTGTGTCTGTGTTTACTCGTGGACTTCTGGACGTTGACAGCGAAATAGTGTGATTGCTGGAAATTTCCCTCCAAATTCACAATTTTCGTTGCGGAGTATCAGTAACCTACTACCCCTACTATCTGATCGCCAGCACACCATCGGGTTGTTTGTCGGAACACAGTTCTTTTCTTATAAACATATATTCGTATTCGTGCAGTGTCCTACAATGAAAACCCAATATTCCATGATGGACCTAGACCTTTAACAAAGGAGGGGTGTGCTGACGCGTGAAGAACAATGACATAACATTCGACGGATAGTCTTGACAATAGGGGATCGTATTGCACGGCCCGCGAAGATCCGTTTAGAACACAAATATGTGAAATGGTGCAAGTGGTGCCTAAACATCGGACGTCTCTCCCTCGGCCCAAGTGCTTTTCAGGACTCCAGCAATAGAACCAAAAACCTTCAGATGATTTATACAAGGTTTCTTACAAGTCCACGCTTCTATTGTGGTCATGCAATTCACTGCGCTGGTTGGAGAACGATTTAGTAAATAAACAGCTCTGTTAACAGCCTTAGCGTATAAGAATTCGCATAATCCTGACTGCACGAGTAGGCATCTAGAGATTTCCAGCAACTTCATTCTGCCGTGGTGTGTAAGCTATAGTAAGCTGCCTAGCAATACTATGATGATGAAGAAAGTCATCGAACTCTTTGTAAACTAATTCTTTAAGGATTCGATCTGTCTGCCGTTCAACCAGAACTCCATGAACTTTGATAGCACTTCATCTATCTTGCGCAAGAAATACACAAAAATCCTCCTGGATTTGTCTTCAATGAACGTCAGGAAATACTTTGATCCCGCCAGAGATTGTGTGGGAAACGGGCCACATACATACAAAAGCTCCGTGGTTCTGTTGGCGGTAGCTGCTAGGATCGGTTGTTGGTGGATCTTGCTGAGCATGCAAGTCCTGCACTCGACATTCTGTGCAAGAATCATATTTTCCACTTTACCCACCATGCCCTTCAAAATAATTTCCCTCAGACTCGAAAAATTATGGTGACCATATCTCTTGTGCAATTAAACGACACCAATTACAGTGGCGGAAAAAAACTTGCAGTTTGTGATTTGAAACAAGTATAGATTGCCAATTCTGTTGGCACTGACAACGCATTCCCCGTCTTGCATGACCTTTGCGTATTTCAGATCGAAATTCACCGTGCACCTGTTTTTCAACGCTCTGCTTACTGCCGTAGTATTGGCATGCCCTTTTTGAACATATGGCATGTTCTTCAAGATTAAAGTGCACAGCTCTGTCTGCAACTTTACATCATTTTTTTCTTAATTTTCAAGGAAACAAGCATTGGCAAGACCGATCATTTCTGTGTGTTTTTCGAATTTAGTGAAAAGCTCTCTTTCACAACTGTTGGAATATGACATTACTTCATATCGATAAGAATATCGTATAAGCAAAAGTATTCTGCTCACTACTGGTAACACTAATATCGTTTTGGTTCCGATGAGCTGGTTCAGCTCTCACTTATTCCGCATAATTTTGAAGTGACAAGACGTGATCCAAGGAACTTAAGATATATATCTAAAACTATACATAAAGTGTATTTAACTTGGTTTGTGAGTTGGTGGGAAGTGTAGTATTGCGCCGAGCACATTATACATGATGTGGGAGGACCACAGGACGAATACAAGAGACAACACGTGAAATCTGGATTCTGACGAAATAGTGTGACGCTTCCAGGAAATCACACACACACATAAATAAATTGTGTGTATTCTTATAGGTTATGGGCCCAGACCGCGCCATAACTGCAGCTAAGTAAAAGTATCATTTTATTATATATATTAAACAAAAAATGGAGAAAACCAATAAACGAAATATAAGGCCATTTGATGGAGAAAAATATTCCATCTGGAAATTTCGTATAAGGGCATTGTTAAACGAAATAGATGTTTTGAAGGTTATAGACCAAGAAGAAGAAGAAGAAGAAGATTTGGTTGAATGGCAGAAAAAGGAGAAATGCGCAAAACAGCGTGATCATTGAGTACTTAAGTGACTCGTTTTTAGGTTTTGCTAAAAGTGAAGATACTGCAAAGCAGGTTTTCCAAAATTGAGATTCAATCCATGAGAGGAAGAGTTTGGCCTCACAGTTGTCTACACGCAAGCAACTGCTATCTTTAAAACTTAAGAGCGATTCTCAGTTATTAAGCCATTTTAATTTGTTTGACGAACTCATTGCCGAATTGCTAGCATAAGGTGCTAAAGTTGAAGAAATGGACAAGGTTTCGCATTTACTACTAACACTGCCATCTGCGTATGACGGCGTTATAACGGCAATAGAAACTTTAGCACGAGATCACGAGATCAAGCTAAGAAATATTAGCAAAGATACCAGTCTAAAGGTTATGCAGGCTGTAGAAAAGGACAGTAAGCCTCAATTTTCTTATAAGAAAAGTAGCAAATTTGCAACAAATAGAGTTTCAAAGTTCCAGAAAAAATGTTTTCATTGCGGCAAGAGTGGTCACATTAAAAAAGATTGCTTTGCTCTAAAAAGGGAAAAAGAGAAACATGAAAATGGCAAACAGGCGCAGATGACATCCACACAAAGCCAAGGAAATCATAATGGGATCGCATTTATGATGAGACGCGCAAATAGCCAACCAAACATTGGGTTCTTATTGGATTCTGGCGCATCAGACCATTTGGCCAACAATGAGAGTTTGTTTACAACTATCACTGAACTAGATGAACCTATTAAAATTTCTGTTGCCAAGAACGATGTATTCATTTATGCAGTTAAGAAAGGAACAGTGAAGCTGTACACAGATTCAAATGAGAAAATTGAGCTTAAAGATGTCTTATACTGTCCTGATATCCCTGAAAACTTGATCTCAGTTAAAAAAATGCAGGAGGCAGGCCTTACCATTGTATTTCACCCAGGAGGTGTAACTGTTAGAAAAGGTAAAATAATTGTAATGAATGGAAGTATATTTGGAAATGTTCCATTGGTTAATTTCTTTTCTAATAAACTAGCTTGTATTGCAAATGCAGCTAAAAATAACAATAATAGTTTGTGGCATGAGAGGCTAGGTCATTTGAGTAAGGGAAAGTTTTTAGAAATTAAAACCAAAAATATGTTTGACGATACAGATTTGCTGAATAACATAAAACCAGAAAATGAATTATGTGAAGCTTGTGTCAAGGGAAAGCAGGCGAGATTAAGTTTTAATAAATTTAAAAATAAGGACCACATAATTCCATTATTTGTTGTACATTCTGATTTGTGTGGTCCAATAACCCCATCTACTGTTGATCATAAGAATTATTATGTAGTTTTTACTGATGAGTATAGGCATTATTGTGCAACTTACCTGTTGAGTTATAAGTCAGAAGTTTTTAGTGTATTTCAAGACTATGTAGCTAAAACGCATGCTTTGTTTAATTTAAATATAGTTAACCTTTATATTGATAATGGTAGGGAGTATTTATCGAATGAAATGAAAGAGTTCTGTGTTCAAAAAGGCATTAGTTACCACTTGACGGTTCCACATACTCCACAACAAAATGGTGTATCCGAAAGGATGATTAGATCTATAACGGAAAAAGCTCGAGCTTTAGTTATAGGGGGCAAGATTCAGAAAACTTTCTGGGGTGAAGCAGTGCTAACAGCCACCTACCTTATTAATAGAAGCCCAACTAGTGCATTACATGAATGCAGAAAGATATCTTTTGAAATGTGGCACGCAAAAAGCCGTGCCTGAAGTACTTAAGAGTTTTTGGTTCGACAGTATACGTTCTCAATAAAACGAGAAAAAGAAAATTTGATGACAAATCATGGAAAGGTATACTTGTCGGGTATGAACCAAATGGATATAAAGTATGGGATGTGGAGAATAACAAATTTGTTATTGCAAGAGATGTAGTGTTTGTTGAATCAAGCAGGATAATGTCTAGAGCTGTGGATGTTGATAACAACATAGATTTTCCCATTCTTGAAGAAAATATTGAACCTGCTTTTCAAGACTCTGGTCTTATTGAGAGTGAAACGGTTCAGAAAAACACTGATATGGTAGTATCAGATGTGCAGCCTAGTGAAATTGAAAATGAAGTGGAGAATGAAGTGGAAAATGCCGATCCAGAGATATCTGGTGTTTTATCTGAAGGTGAACCAAGTGACTCTAATACTCAAATTCGAAAAAGCAAGAGACTAAAAGAAAAGCCCAAATTGTCATATAGAGATATGATTAAAAATTGTGTTATGAATGCGCAAACTTTAACAGGTAGTGCTCCAATATCTTTTGATGAAATTAATAATAGGAGTGATAAAGAACAGTGGAGAGCAGCTATTGAAGATGAGCTTAATTCTCATGAAATTAACAAAACATGGTCACTGGTAGAAAGACCTGAAAACAAAAACATAGTCGATTGTAAATGGATATTTACAATAAAACAGAACGAGTTTGGTAGACCAGTAAAATATAAAGCCAGACTTGTAGCACGAGGATTTACACAGGAATATTTAATCGATTACGACGAAACATTTGCCCCTGTGGCTAGAATTGCAAGTTTCTTACTTATAATGTCTTTTTCAAACCAGTATAGCCTTAAAGTACATCATATGGATGTAAAAACTGTTTTTTTAAATGGAGATTTAAAAGAGGAAATATACATGAGAGTTCCTCATGGACTGTCTTGTAATAGCTGTCATGTTTGTAAATTGAATAAAGCAATTTATGGTCTTAAGCAGGCGGCTAGATGTTGGTTTAAAGTGTTTGAAAAGGCTTTAAAAGATATTGGTTTTAAAAATTCACCTGTAGATAGATGTATATATATTTTGGATAAAGGGTCTATTTTAAAAAATATATATGTTTTGTTATACGTAGATGACTTGGTTATTTGTACAGAAAACATTTTAACAATGAATAAATTTATGTCATATTTAATGAGCAAGTTTCAAATGACAGATTTAATGGAAATTAAGTATTTTATTGGTATTAAAATAGACACAAAAGAAAGTAAAGTGGAATTAAGCAAATCAGCTTATATTAAAAATATTTTATTAAAATTTAAAATGGAGCAATGTAATTCTGTAAATTCACCACTTCCAAGTAAACTGAACTTTGATTTATTAGACTCTGATGAAAGAGACGATTCTCCTTGTCAAAGTTTGATTGGATGCCTTATGTATGTAATGCTATGTACAAGGTCAGAAAAATAATAAAGAGC